TCACCCTGTTGATTTCCTCCTATATCTCATTCCACAGCTGTGTTGATGCTGTTTGTTTTCTTGCGTGTTACACTCACTAGTATGTCAGCTCCTGAGGTATACTCATGAGCAGCGTGGGTCCTGGAACTAGACTGTTTGTCACTTACTAAACATATGACCTTGATTAAATTACCTAAATCTATGCTCCAGATTCCGACCTATAAAAGGGAACCTTACCATAAGTGGTCCCTGACAGAGAATACCTTATTGTGAGGCATATGAAGACTTAGAATATGAAGGGCCTAGTCAAAGTTAACTTTTCGAACTGCTGTTATTGACTGCTATATGCTTTATTACTATTACTACTGCTCTGTCTCTGGTGCCCAGCACAGTGCCTGACATGTAACAGGAGCTCACATAGCTGGGGCTGCTAGCAAGCATATGATATTGCTGACCAAACTTGCAGGCATGAATATTAGCCTGCAGAGAAATCCAGAGCAAATGTGATGGGGCTGAAAGAGGAGCGATGCATTTCCTGAGGTGCCTGGGAATCAGGAAAGGCTAGAGGAAGAGGGCAACAGGGAGAGCAGAGTCTAGAAGGAACCGAGGGAGCCCCGGGGTGTGCTCTGAGACTGGCCCAGGCCCAGGTTGTAAGGGGCTCTGGAGGGACTTGGGGGAATAGGCTCTGGGGAGTAGTTAGGGAGTAGCTGGGGAGATCAAGGAACAACCTGGTTGTTTTTCCTTCCCCAAGAGGGCAGAGAACAGCCCCTCGCTTGCCTCAGAGAGATACTCCCAAGTCAAGGCTCTGCTCCCATCGCCTCTCATGCTTATCTCAGCCACAAGGAAACAAAGCAAACCAAAAATTATATCACTGGCAGGGTGTAAAACAATGCAGCTGAGCCCTTCAAGTGGCTGCAGAGATTGAGAGGCACAGGGTCAGCCTTCTTGCTGCAGCTCAGGAAGAATCCTGGCCCTGCTGAAGAGGGACAAAGGGAGACAGAGGGGAGCTGAGGATCCTGGTAACCAAAAGATCATTTCCAATTTGTTTTGGAGAAACAAGAAGGTTTGAGATCAAAAGCTCTGGCCAGCGATCTCCTAATGAAAGGACCATGAGCTCAACCACCCCAGACAGCACACACACACATCCAGTGAGAGCCAAGTGGCAGAATGTCCTGCCTGCCTCCAGACAGTGCAAAACTGGGTCCTGGGGAATGCGCCCTGCCTGCCCTACTTCCTCACTCCCACCACATGCTCCTTGTGGGGAGGGGTCTCCTTGGACCTTCACACTCACATCAGCAAAAGCACTGCTGTGCATTCGGGGGGGTGGCTCCCTAGAAATGCAGGCCCCAACGATTAGTTCCAACAGACACTGATCCCAGACAGGGAGCAGCTCAGCTGTGTTCAGGCCACCTCTCTAGGGTGGTGCTGAGCAGTAAGGGTTGGTCAGGGAAGGAAGCGTCATTACAAATCAGAAGCAGACCAAAATTCCTGCTGAAGAGAGGCAGAGGCAGAGGGAACCCACAGGGGAACAATTAACTGATAAGAGTAAACTAATCATTATTCATATTACATTAGGGCACAGGTGATTTGGAAAAAAAAAAAACAATCTACAGACCTTCCCAGATGTTTTGTGGGTTTTGCATTGCAGAGGTTTGTTTTATGGGACCCTTCTGGGAATCAGATTGTAAGAGCTGGTCCAGGACCAGAGTGGGGGCAGGGCTCCTGTCCTGCTTAACTACACAATAAACACATAACGGCTTGTCCCAGAGGACAGTATTCTTTGCATACTAAACATTTTGGTGCTAAGCTTTGGGGGCCTCTAAGAGGTGCTGAATTCTGACAGGGGGAGAGAGAAGAGGGGAAGGTCGGTCATTCAGGGAAACCCAGGGCTATTCCAGATGTTTGGAGCAGAGGCTAAGCCTTGGGATGCACTAAATCCAGAATGTGGAAGGATTTCCACAGACCTGCAGAGCCAACAGGAAGACAAAGACAAGGAGTAGGAAGGCAGCAGTGTGGCCCACCCTCTTGTGGGGACCGGTGTGTGTGCACATGTCTCTGTATGTATGCACGTGGGTGCAGGTACACATATGCATATGTGCATGCAAGGCAGAGGGGGTACAGCTGTGTGCTACATGTGTGCCTGCCTCTGGTGTATGTTTTGTGACTACACAGTTGTTTGTGTATTTGTGTGTGCGTTCACGTACTTGGGGTGTTGCCAAAACTTCCCCCTAAAACCAACGGCAGGCTGTTGTCTCTTCCCTGAGCCCTGTCATGCTAATTTTAATCCCACATTATTGTTTTAAGTTGGCTCTAAAAATTAACAATTTTTGTAAACAGAGTATGGGGCTAAATTGGAAGCCAGATCCCTAGAGAGGGGTTTTATTATCACTATTGTTCTTATAAGAATGGTAAGGGCAAAACTTGTCACCTTCCTCTTCCACTGGTCAGCCTCCCATTGGCTAAGGGGAGAGCACCCAAGAACACCTGCAGAGAGTGTCCAACTGGCCACAGCCTGTCAGGACCAAACAGGACTAGGCCGGTTGGTCCGACCCTTGATTTCACTGCTACTGAAGAGAATGGCCGTGAGTTCTGAAGAAGCAGCACCTTCAGAATTCACCCGGACTCCAGGCCTCCTCATTGTCTTCCTCCCTGAGCTTACCGCCTAGGGCTGTGCCCTGTCCTGGGGCAATGACAGAGAAATGGCTGTGATCCCCTCATACTCGTACACGCGTTGTACCCCACACACTGCTGATGGTCCCTCTCTGGGTCATGGTTTCCTTGTTTGTGAAATGAGAAAGTCTTTTAAGGTGCAGCTAGAAACTGTTCAAGGTCATTTCTGCCCTACCATTTGGTGATTTTTGACTAGGATTGGATGCAGCTAGACAGAGGCAGTTTGTGCTCCATGGAAGCTGATGGCCAAGTCCTTCCTCTGTGCTCCCTACCTTTCCCACTCCCCCAAGTTGGTATGGAGTCCTTGCGGTAAGTAGACTTTGGAGTCAAGGAAAACATGATCTCAGGACAGGTTCTCTTAGCAGAGTCTAAAGGAACAAGATTTATTCCAGTAGGGGAAGAAAAAAAGCAGACTAGGACTTGCTATATAATTCATGCTTCATTAAGGGAATGAGGAAATGGTCCTGCACCTTAGCAGGAGGCACTCTGGTCAGATTTGGAAGAACTTCCTTACTGGCAACGAGGGCTATTAAACACAGGAACCAGAAGAGGGAGTGAGAGGGAAGGACAGCTGTCCAGAGAGGCAGTAATTATTAATTACATTGTCAAATGTCTGTGGGATGGTGTGGATAGTGGGACTCCTTCCTTACCTCAAGGTCCTTACCAAAATGGCTGGTTCTAAAGCCACTGTCCTACCCCTACCCCATCCTTCACCCACCACACACACTTAGCTTTGCACTGGAAATAGCAGGGATTGGCTTGGTACTAACCAGGGCAGAGAGGATGATAGGGAAGGGGTCCTGTGATTCTCAGCATAGAAACACGTTGCCTGGTGCTACAACTTCGATTCAGCAATGCCTGACAGTGGGTCTAGAGTTGGTCACCGTGTCAGGGAAGGAAGCCTCAGACCTTGTGCAATAGTTTCAGCTACTGAAAAGCACATCCCCAGGCCAGCTGGGGCCAGAACCCCAGCTACAGGAACTGGCCTTCTCTGTGGCTGTAAAGAGGACACAGGATGTCCCTGACTACAGATGTCCAGGAGGAGGAACAGCAAGGGTGTGCAAACCCTCAAAATATATATGAGGCTAGCTTCTACGTCTCTGGCACTTTAAAGAAGAGCATTTGGAAATATCTTCAGAAATGGGTACATGCTACAGCTACATCTGCACCCCATACATACATACATGCACACACATGTGCATACACACAGACTTACTAGTCACACCCAACACATACAGGCAGGAGACATGCATGGAATTCTTTGCCCAAGACGCCTTGAGAAATTCCTGGATAGCCTGGGGGACCCTTTTGCTCCATCTCTGTTCCTCCATTGTCCACTTCCAGCTTCCTCTCCACCTCCCTGCCTTCTCTCTGGAATGTCCAGGGCACTGTGGGAGTGGGCTGAGGCTAGCACTCAGCAGGCTGACATGCCTTTGGCAAGGGGGCCGTGCCTACAGGTGGGGCTGGCATACAGGCCGGCGCTGTGGACCCCCATCTCCACCCCATACAGGTACCCCCGCATTCCAGCAGGTACCATCCGAGCCCCCACCAGCCGCCTCTCACTACGGGGTGCCTGAAACCTAGGAGGGAGTCGCACCCTCCCGCTCCTCATCTCTGCTTCTCGGTCCCAGAGAACCGCCCCCCCAACTACCCAGCCCGGAAACAATCACCCTTTGAAAAAGGCTGCCAAGCTGGGCGCCAGGAACAGCCAGGATGGAGGCGGGGTGGGGTGGGGGTGCAGGCAGCGGGCCGGCGAGCTTTAACTCTAGAGAGCCGAGGCCCGGGCGGCGTTCGGCCCCCTCCCGCAGCCCCTGCTTCCGTGCTTGAAGCTGGAGCCGCCTCCGCTGGGAAGGGTGTTGGGGGGTAGGAGGGGAGGTGATACCAATCCCGGGGGGAGGGTCCTCGCGAGCCTCCCTCCTCGCGCCCCCGCCCTAGCTGGCGAGGTTGGTACCGACCATTAGCAGCGGGTCCCGCCGGCAGCTCGCGCTCGCTCGGGGGCGGGGAGTGGGGGTGGGGGCGGGGCAGGAGGCGCTGTCAGAGCCGCGACCTCACCGGCGCAGCCGCCGCCGCGGAGGGGACTCGGAGCCGGCCCGGTCGGCTGGGCTCCGGCCGCGCTTCCCGGCTCCCTGCGCCCCCTCCCCGCTCCTCCCCTCCCGGCCCCCGCCCCCCGCGGTCCCTGCCCGCGCCTCCCGCGCGCTCCCAGGCTCCGTGCGCCGCCTCGCTGAGCCGAGGAGGAGCGGGGCCGGCGGCGGGCTCGGGCCGGGCGGCGGGGGCGCTCGGACCCGCGGCTATGAAGTGGCCCTCGGGGGCCCGCAGCGCAGGATCCCCAGGGGAGGGAGGCGCGCGCGGCCCAGAGCAGCAGCCTGGGGGCTCCGGGGCCGGGGTTTAGGGGCCGCCGCCCGGAATGAACCGCGCCGGGGACAATCCGGACTCGCCGCCTCAGGTCAGTGACCCCCGCGGGCCCCGCGGGCGCCGTCGCAGCGCACAGAGCCCCTTTATGCGTCCCGATCAGTACCCACGCCATGTCCTCGCGGGTGCGCGCGCGCGTGCGTGTGTGTGTGTGTGTGTGTGTGTGTGTGTGTGTGTGGTTGTGCGCGCAGCGGGGACAGCTGGAAGGGGGCTGGAAAGGCCGGGGCTGGGAGCCGCTGCCTGCCGCCCAGGAGCTTCCAACCAAAACCTGGGTGATGCCTGCCCTCCTCCGCCCCGATCAAGGGAAGAGGTGGTTCTCAGGAGATTCCAACAAACTGGTCCAGGCTCTTAGCTCCCCGTCCCTTCCCACCTCAGCAGGTGGTTCCTGGTGGCCCAGACTCATCTGGGCCAGCACCCCTGCCGTACCCCTGCTCCCTTGCAGTCATCCACAAAGGCTCTGAAGCTCCAGACACTGGCAAGTGAACTCAGGGGACCCAAGCTCTGCAGCTCTCCTGGGGACCTAGAGGTGGCAAGGGTGGCAAAGGGTCCTTGGGACCTTCACTACATCAAGGAGCCGGGAGGCATGACAAAGTTCACCACCGATTTTTCTGCACTGGGCTCAGGCCTGAAGTCCTGATTCCTCCAAAGTCAAAGCATACAACTTCCAGAAAGGAAGCTGAGAGGTGAGGCAGTCAAGGAGAAGGAAGCCACAGGATCTAACAGTGCCAGGGAAGGGAGGTGACGGCAGCCTGGTACCAAGCAGCTAAGGTCAAGAACATCCCCCCACGCGCGCGCACACACACACACACACACACACACACACACAAATAAGGTCTTAATTAGCCTCTCCTTCCCCTTCTTCACCTGTCCAGGCCTAGACTCCGCCTTGCGCTCTTCGATGGATTCTTGCAGGAGCTAGGGCTGAGGGACTCTGGGCATTTCTAATGCACAGGAGTCTGGAGGTGGCCTTTTCTGACAGATGCTAGCCCCGTGCTGGTGGGGCAGCTCTACCTGCATGAGTACTCGTCTGGGTGGGGTACGTGTTGGGACCCTGAGCTTGGGTTGTGTGGCATGCATTGTTTGAAAAGATTGATTGGATGGGGATGTCCCTGTGCATGTAGCACTGTGAAGTTATTGTATGTGTGTGTGGAAATGGGAGACAAACAGCTTCCTAAGTCACTGGGGTTGAGGGGCCTGTGGCCTCACAGGACTGTTGCCCTATGGTTTTCTGAGATTTGTCTTCTGTGCCTCTTGTCTCCCTACTGCTGCCACCACAGAGATAGAGACATTTCTCCCAGAACCTGCTTAGTGGTGGCCATTAGCTGTACTGGACTTACTAGTCCCCATTTCTTAAGATGGAACAAAGACCCTTTCCCAGGAGACCTTCGGAGAGACTGTCCACCTTCCCCGTCCATGCCAAGCACTCCCAGGGTTCTGGAGCTGCGTGCCATCTCCCTGCACCTGCTTCGGTGGGGGCAAGAAGCCTCGCTAGGGCGAATGGAATTGTGCCCCGTTCAGCCCAGGAGCCCAGTGGCTCTCTGTGCCCCGTTCTGCACCTGAGCCATGGAGGCCTGGGAATCACTCCGTGTTCACACATTTTGGAAGCTTATATGTACTGGGTCGAGTATGTTCATATAGGTTTCTGGATGAACTGACTGGTCTGATGCAGGTAAACCACTGAAGTGGGACAGCTCCAGCGACAAGGCTGCAGCCTGGATCGGAGACCAGGGGCTGCAGACAAAGATGTCTGTGGGGCTGGCCCAGTCTCTGCCTCAGGCCTCCAGTTAGAGCTGGATTTTCCCACAGTGGCTTTTGAGGGGTGTAGGGACCCAGTCGGCTTACTTCCGAAGCACGGTGTTAGGAGGCAGGTTGGAGTTTTGCAAGTGTGAGAAACAGAAGGGTAAGCTCACGGGAGCCAGGCTCCGGGATAGGGGAGAATGTTGGTGTATTTTGGCTGGAAAAGAGGGATGAGCTGGCACAGAGATGCCCCAGAGCTCCCCTCTGCTGAGAGCTGGAGGAGAAGAGAGGCAGGCCTGCGGAAGAGAACAAACTGAGTCTGAGGAAGGCAGAGAAGCCAGCATGAAACTACAGACAAATGACAAAGACACACACTCATGGAGCAACACAGTGGAGGATGGCCCAAAGGCAGAAGTCTGGCTTGCCCAGGGCACATTTCCAATTAGCCCAAGCACCCTCCTTCCCAAGATCCCCTATATCAGCAGTCATCCACCCGGCAGGGAGGCCTCTGGGTGGAGCAGTCAGTCAGTCTCCTAAAGAAAGCTCTTTCCGTGGCTTTGATGAAGCCAGAGTAGTTCCGAGGGAGGCCGAGGAAAGGCAGAAGGGGGACAGGCTGTGGGATCTGGGGTCTGCAGGGAGACCTTCTCGCCGGGCTCATCCCTCCCTGCTAAGGGCTCCCAGCTCCTGGCCCTGCCCCACCACCCTTCCTGGTCCTGGGATACAGTGGGGTGAGGAAGGGTGTGGACTCCGGGGAGACAGAGCATCTGGAGAGAAGGAAAAAGGAAGCTCACCCTCATGCATCCCCCAGGCTTCCAGGCCAGAAGAGCCCTGGGGGACCTGCTTTGGGTGCAGGGAAGCAGTACTGTGCAGAGCCTCAGGCCAGGGCCTGCCTGCCTCAGCTCCTTCAAGGACCACTGAGTGGACTTTGTGAAAACTGAGCCCTCTAAGACCTGGTTTCCTAAAGGCCTGGACACTGAGGACTCCTCTCACCAGGCTGTTTCTAGGTAAAGTACTAGATGAATGTTAATTCGATGCATTTTTTAATACCCTCTCCCATAGTCCTCCAGGATCTGAATGGCTCTAGAATTTGAGGAGCAATTCCCTAGCCAACCCTGGAGCCCATCACATCTGAATCATCTCAGCTCCCCCAACTCTCTCCCCCCCACCCCATCTGATTTAGCACACCACCAGACTCGGGCCTTCTTAAGGCACACCTGGGGAGAGCCTCTGTCCCAAGGACATTCCCAGTGTCCCCTGCTGAACAATAGCAACAACAACGTTTCCATGTCTGATTAGTGGTGAATGTAATTATTCCAATTTATTAGACAGGGCTTGTCTAAAAACTTTATGCAACTTGCAAGGGGTCCAGGCCTATGGCCTCTTACTGTCCATGCTGGGAGGTGCCGAGGTGGACAGAGCTCACAGAATGCCGCTCACTCCAGACACCGACCGAGCACCCACAGTGTTGCAGGCAGTGCCCAGAACACAAGCATCAAATAATCCAAAATCGAGGTTTCTATTTAGCTTGAGAAGGTTTGTGTGGGTTGCTCTTTGCCTTTTTTTTTTTTTTTTTTTGCAGCTACAGCAAATTTACCTTTCTAATGAGGTTTAGCTTCAGCCTGTATTAAAATGAGTCTGCGCTCCCCACACACGCCAGCTGACAGCAGGGCCAGCAGCCTCCCAGCCAAGTGCCTGACAGGGGTTAGGGCTTTGCCAGCTCAGCCCAAACGTGGAGTCTCAGTCTGGATTGCTAAGAGTTGACTGCAGTCGGGTATAAACCTCGCCCACAGGGCTATGGGTCCCGTGTTGGGTATTGGACGGATAGAGGGAGCCGAGAGAGCAGACACCAAAAGGCATCCCTCGGGTGTTAGGAGTGGACCAGACCTGAGACTGGGGGCTTGGTCCTGCCGACCCTCCCCGATGGCACGTTTCTTCTCCACTCTCCGCCACTTCTCTCCATCTTGTTTCTGCTTAATGAGGTGGCTGAGCGATCTGGCCTCTGAGGTATGAGTCTCCTTAGTCTCAGGACTCTGGGCTGTTCATTTGACCATTATTCCAAACCCACAGAGCCCAGCAGCAGACGTGGGGTGGGCTGCTTTGCCTCCTACGATCCATCAGCCACCTTGTACGAGCTCAGTAGCCACACGTGGCCAGTGTCTACCAGCTTAGCCGGCACAGGTGCAGCGCCCCCTGCGTCAGACAGCTCTGCTGGAAGAGCCGGCCCAGCTCTCCATTGTCTACCAAAGTGGCAAGAGCACGGACTCTGGAGCCCACCTGGCTGGACTCCAGTCCCAGCTCTGCCGCTTACTACTGGGTGGCCTTGGGACGTTACTTAACCTCTCTGTGCCTCCTGTTTCTCATCTCTAAAATGGGGTAATAACAGGATGTTTATGAGGAAGGAATGAGTCATTATGTTTAACCATGGTCATCACTCAGAGCACGCAATAAATAGTAAATGCTTTGCTTAGCAATTTTTATTATTCATTTATTTAACAATTGCCTTAATAAACACTCATTGAACAGTCTGTTGTATGCCAGGCATGATACCAGCTGCTAGGGCTGTCCGTAATCAGCATGTCATCTCGCTCACGTCCCTGACGCTTCCTCCGCTCCTCACCTGTGTTGGGAATGCGGCCAGATGATAACCCCTGCACCCCTCACCCGGGACGTAAGATGAGACGAAGAACGTGTCCTTTAGAGTGGATTCCACTGCAGTCCTGTTGCATTGGAACCATTCACCAAAAAGCATTTCCCAAGCCCCCGTGCACTCAAAATAAAAGAAACAAATGAGGTCCAGCTACAACCAGCATCTTGTTGAAGGGGGATGGAGTGGGGACTTACAGGGCTCCTGCCTGAGCTCACCCCATCCTTGGTCCTGCGGGAAGGGACGCCAGGAAGCCACTGCCCTGAGCTCAGCAGAGGGAAGCAGCCGAGAGGGAGAAGGGCCCTCGCTGGCCTGACAGGACGTGGAGATCAGCTGGCGGCCCCCGGTCAGCCATAGCTGCATGTCCCTGTGTGACAGAACCATGCAGAGCCTCGGCGTCCTCGTCCCAAACAGGAGCACCACCACTTCCCTACCCAGATGGCACCTTTACCTCGGTAAGCTCTCCACAGAACGCCCCAGGAGCAAGAGGCAAGGGGGAGAAGGGAGCCGACAGGCCAGTTGCTAGAAGGCAGAAAGGGGAGCGGAAACGGGTCCGAGGAGCGAGAATTTGCCGGCAGAAATCACAAACTGATGGATGGACATGGGAGACCGTCTGTCCTGCATGGTGTGTCCCAGAATCAGGGTTCTGTGAC